TAATGGAAAAATCATGTCTAAAAACTTGTGCTTCCTCTCTAACAGGAGATTAGTTGAATAAATCATGGCATATCCATATAATGAAATGTGATATATGTTGTCAGAGAAGGAAATTGACATGAAAAATGCCCATAATATACTGCTAGGTGAAGAAGTAGGTTACAAGACAGTACACAGACTATGATTCCATTTTGTTAATAAATTATACATAATAACACTGAGCCTTAAATATAAGTATATATATGAACAAGGCACTGAACAAAGTGATTTACATTAATTACTTTATCCTCACGACAACCCTAGGGTGTAGGTAGTATTATACTTGTCTTCTTACAGATAAAGAAACTGGGCAGGAAGAGGGTAAGTAATTTGCCATAGTTCACTGGAATGGCAGAGCTGGGGAACAGACCTAGATATGCTGGACTCTGGAGCCCAAACTCTTCAGTGACACCATATCTATGTCTATGTTTGTACAGAAAAAAAGTCAAGAGAGAGAAACACCAGGATGTTAACATTAACTGGTTATTTCTGGGTGATGAGATTATGAGTGACTTTTGTTCCCTTTATGCTTTCCTGAGTAGTCTGAACTCTTTGTGATTTACATGGATTATTTATATAATCAGGAAAAACAATAAATTAATTTCCATTTTGAAAAAAGTGAACAGCCACTGTTTCCAGACTGTAGGTGGCAAACTACTGGGGAGTGGAGGGGAGGAGTAACTTAATTATTACAAAAGTTCTGGAAATTCCCACATGACCCAAGCATTGTCTAGAATGAATATGTTTGCACATATTTTTTCCAAATGACATGTTGTATATACTGTCATGGTATATACTCTTTGTGCTTGAGTTTATTCCATATTTCTCAATCAATGAATATTAAAAATACTACTATTATCATATGGAAGTCCATAAATTTTAAACACTAAAATAAAGGATGAGATCTGCTGCTACAAGGAAAAATATATGTATGGGTCAGCACTGTAGCCTGAGTGTCTTCTCGCCAACTTACCACCTTTTTCTCAGAAACAATGGGAGGAAATAGAGGGGGAAAACTGCAGAGGCACAGATTATTAAAAGTTAATCCAGGGTTGCGGAAGGGGAAGTGGGTGGGTGGATGGGATAACTGGGTGATGGGCATTACAGAGGGCACATGATGTGATGAGCACTGGGTATTATACGCAACTCATGAATCAATGAACACTACATCAAAACTAATGATGTAGTATATGTTGGCTAATTAAATTTAAATGAAAAAAATAAATAAATTACAAAAAAGCCTTAAAAAAAAAACAGTTAATCCAGAAGTCCCAGGAAAAGGTAAGTTAGAAGGATGAGAGAACATGGAGAGGGAGTTGATATTGGCTCAGAAAATTCTATTATGGAAAGGCAGAAGGCTAAATCTCCCCTATGTTACCAGAGGCTAGTCCCCACACTCAACCACAAGGATGTCAACACCTATGTAGGCTGTGATGCTGCAATACCTGAGTGCTAGCCTTTGCTCAAGGGCCAGGCTGGTATCCAATCAGCAGAAAGACATGGAGTGGCGAGGGCCCTCCCCATCTTCTGCCAAACCAACTCAAAGGTCAGCAGCTGCCTTTCCTTTCTCTCATTCTTCCTTTCCCTTTTGTAATGTGTCCCTTATCTTCAATTTCTGCACAGCTTCTTGGCCCCCTCTCAGGTCTCCAGGTTACACTACTCCCTAGGACTCCAGTGATTTCATTACCCATAAGAAACCATCCTGATCACAAGATCTCAAATTAAGATACTCACTCACTGATCATTCATTCAATAATAAGGGCCTTAGGGGCAGAGGCCCTGACAAATTAGGTATAGTCCCTACCCTTTTAGAAGCATACAGTCTTCAGGTGTGAAAAGCAAAAAACCAACAAAAATAAAAACAAACTTACAATTCCATTTGCTTCATTGGGCATGAAGTTACAACACGGTAAGAGACAGGAGTCAGCGAGAGGAATGAGGGCCTCATTTTCCCCTTCTCATTTTAGCCTGTATTTGGGATTCACTTAGGGACAAGGCCCCACACCATCACCCTTGCTTAGTAGAGCAGGCACTGAGGCCTGGAACACTGGCTGACTCTAAGGGAGAACAGTCTTCAACAGACCAATGACATGGGAAAAAAAAAGAGGGTGGGAAGGAGGATTGTTCTCTATTAAAAGCAAATTTAGGTTTTGCCAAAGGACTCAAAGCTGAGTCTGATCCAGTCCTTGAATCCAGATGCCAATCTTCAGGAAATACAGAGGAACCTACTGAAGTGCACCATGGGCATGCTGTAAACAAAGTCCAGGCTGTGGAAAATTCTCCAGGTCAAATGTGGACTCTTCAAGGTATAAATAACGTCAGAAAAAGAAAGTGATGGAGGAGGAACCTGTAAATGAAAACAGACTTAACCTCTTCAAAAATGCCAAGGTCATTGGGGGAAATCAGAGGGGAAGACAAACCACAAGAGACTGTGGACTCTGAGAAACAAACTGAGGGTTTTGGAGGAGAGGGGGGTGGGGGGGTTGGGTAAGCCTGGTGGTGGGTATTATGGAGGGCACGTATTGAATGGAGCACTGGGTGTAGTGCATAAACAATGAATCTTGGAACTGTGAAAAAATAAAATAAAGTTTTAAAACATGCCAAGGTCATAAAAGGAAAGATCAAGAAAGTATCACAGCTTGGAGGAGACTAAGGAGACATGATTATTCCATGCAATGTGAGACCTGGTAGAATCCTGGAACAGAAAGTGGACATTAGGAGAAAATTTTAGTGCAATTCAAATGAACTCTGATGTTAACAGCAATGTACCAGTATTGGTTTCTTACCTGTGATATCTTTACCTTGGTTACATAAGATGTTAACGTAAGTGTAAGCTGGGCGAAGGGTAAAGGGACTCTATGCTCTCTTGGCAACTCTCCCATAAGTCTAAAACTTTCCAAAATAAAAAGTTTAAAAAGGAAAATTTAAGGAATATATCAATTTTTTCATTTTTTAAAAGACTTTATGTATTTATTTGTCAGAGAGAAAGAGAGAGCACAGGCAGGCAGAGTGGCAGGCAGAGGGAGACGCAGGCTCGGCACCTGCCGATCGAGGAGCCCAGTGTGGAACTCGATCCCAGGATGCTGGGATCATGACCTGAGCCAAAGGCATACGCTTAACTGACTGAACCACCCAGCCGTCCCTAGGAACCTATCAATTCTTTTAATGGGTAAGACTATGGTAATAAAGCCATAGAAATGCATAGAAAAGATTACTTTAAATGTTAGGATAGGGTGGCTCTGTTGGTTAGGCATCTGCCTCTGGCTCAGGTCATGACCCTGGAGTCCCAGGATCAGGCCCCTCATCAGACTCCCTGCTCACTGGGGAGTCTGCTTCTCCCTCTGCCCCTCACCCCGATCTCATGCTCTCTCTCACTCTCTCTTGCTCTCTCTCAAATAAATAAAATCTTTTTAAAAATGTCTAAACTATCCAAAGCAATCTATAGATTTAATGCAATCCCTATCAAAATACCAACAGCATTTTTCACAGAACTGGAATAAACAACCTTAAAACTTATATGGAACCACAAAGAACCCAGCTAGCCAAAGCAATTTTGAAAAAGAAAAAAAAGTTAGGATAATGGTTATTTGTGGAGGAGGAAGAGGGTTGTGACTGAAATGGGGCACATGAGAGTCTTCTGGGGTTTTATTTCTTGATGTAGGGGTGACTGCAAGGTATTAGTCTTCTAATAATTTATTAAGCCATACATTTATTTTAGCTGGTTTTCTGTATCTATATTTTATTTTATAATGAAAAATTAAAAAGAGAGAGGAGTGCCTGGATGGCTCAGTCGTTAAGCAGTTACCTTCAGCTCAGGTTATGATACTGGGGTCCTGGGATCAAGTCCCGTCTGGGGCTACCTGCTCAGCGGGGAGCCTGCTTCTCCCTTGCCCACTCCTCCTGGAATACTGGAGGTACTCTTCCTGCTTCTGTTCCCTCTCTCACTGTGTCTCTCTCTGTCAAATAAATTTTTTAAAGTCCAAAATAAAATTAAAGAGAGAGAGAATTAAAAGACATAACTTTCAAATACAATCAGTAATACTAGTTTAGATCCTGATTCAAATCAACCAACTGTTAAAAGACATTTGAATGGGGACTAGATATTAGGTATTATTCAAGAATTACAAAATTTGTTAAGGGTAATAGTGGCATCACTTTGGAAGGAAACATTCCTATTTTTGTATGCACAGTGACGTATTTAGGGGTGAAATGACATGATATCTTAGAATTGCTTTAAGATACTTCAAGAAAGGGGTGCCTGGGTGGCTCAGTGGGTTAAAGCCTCTGCCTTCGGCTCAGGTCATGATCTCAGGGTCCTGGGATCAAGCCCCGCATCGGGCTCTCTGCTCAGCAGGGAGCCTGCTTCCCTCTCTCTCTCTCTGCCTACCTCTCTGCCTGCTTGTGATCTCTCTCTATCTGTCAAATAAATAAAATCTTAAAAAAAAGATACTTCAAGAAAAATAATCGGGGCAATATATGGAACAAGTATAGCAAAATATTAGTAATTATTGAAGATGAACAAAAAACATAAACACAAAGATAAAAATTTGTTGCATTGCCTAGTTTTGTGTGTATTTGAAATTTTTGTAGTAGCTAGTTAAAAGAGGGGGACATCCCAAGCCAGACTGCCTGAGGGCAATAGTCTCAACAAAAAGCTAATCTTAGGTCCTCCCCTACCCCACAAACCCCCCAGAGCTCCCTCCCCACTAGCCACCTCCTTGAGATCACAACCCCTGTAGTCTCAGAGAGTGGTCTGTGAAAGGTATTTCCCTTCTTTCCCTCTCTGAGTCCCTAGGACTAGATGGCAGTCCTTCTTACCTTTCTTCATCCTGATGTCTTAATAATCTCAGGAAACAGTCAAAGGGCAAATGGCCAGGGCCCAGGGCTCACACCTGATAGGGCAGTCCTTGGTACTCCAAAGCCTGCCTCTTGCAGTGGGTCGTAGGTGTGGGGCAGGACAAAGAAGGAAAAGGGCACGTGAAAATCCTCCTGACCATATACATTCACTATCCAGCAAGCTTCAAGAGGCTTGGTGGCACCATTGTTTGAAAGAGTGTTCTGGGATCTTTGTCTTCCTCCGGCTCCTGAGCAACATGCCTTGTTTTAAGCAGCCTACGCACTTCCAGAGTCTGATACTTCTGCAATGGCCCTTGAGCTACCTTGCCATATGTGAGTACTGATCCTACAATGCATGGCAAGAAGCCAGAGTCAGAGGCCAGGGCCAGATCTGGGGTGAATTTCAAGCTCATGGGAAGTCTCATGTCTAACTTTTGATCATCTCAGATGGTATTACAGAGTAAAGTCAAGGAGTCTTGAGTCTTACCAGTGTCCTGGAAAAGGAAGAGATAGAGCCACAGGTGGTGGTGAGAACAGGCAGAGGGGTAGAACAGGGTCATGATGGATATGAATAGATCTGGCTAATTTCAGCCACTTCTTAACCCTCACAGTCTGGAAAGAGGAAATGAAGCCCAAGGAATAGGCATGATACACCCATAAGCATAAGGAAGCATCGGGAGTGGGGCAGAAGAAGCATTAGAATAACGGACTTGGAGAAGTACAGCCTGTGTTTAAACCATAGAGTTTTCCGTTCTGGGAGGGGCTGGGGTGGTAGCATGTAGGGAGATAGTGATAATGAAAGGAATGGTGAATGAGTAAGAGGATAAGAATGGTAAATGGGGCGGGGGGTACCTGGGTGGATCAGTCTGGTAAGTGTCTGTCTTCGGCTCAGGTCAAGATCCCAAGGTCCTGGGATGGAGCCTACCCCAGGCTCTCTGCTCAGCGGGGAGCCTGCTTCTCCCTCTACCTGCTACTCGCCTGCCTGCTTGTGCTGGTGGCAGGCAGGGAGCAGGAGTAGAGGGATGGTGAGTGGACAGCGATGATGGTGAATTAGAAATAGGGCTGGTATATGGCAGATGATAAAGGAAATATCTGAAGGACAAGCAGACATAGATGCTGGACAGGCAGGAGCTGGACTGTACAGAAGGCCATGACCAGAGCCTTGAGTAGTTTGGAGGGCTCTTAAGGGGGTTGTACCTGGGCAAGTTCTGTTGGCAGCACAATTCTGACCTGACCTGCTCCCTCATCAGTTTGGATCTTGCAGCCATTATTCATTTCCTTGCTGTTTACATCCTTGTGGCCACTGCCAGTGCTGTACTTTACCTGGTATTTCCTGGACTGGAAGACTCCAGAGCAAGGTAAGACCCATAGACCTAGAAAGAACACGGCCTAAGAATGTTCCAGCTTAACCTATGACCAGGGAGTCCCACTCACCATGCCACAGGCCTCTCATCCAAGTTCAGAGTCACAGGACCTGGGCCAGCCAGGACTGTCTTGGGGTCTCTTCCTTTTCTACCTCTCTAGCAGAGCCATGGTCCCTCCATGCTATTAGTAAAGCCCCGAAAGAGTGGGAGGGATGGGGTTGCCACACACAGACACCATCCCCCACTGATATTTCTGTCTCAGGTGGCAGGCGTTCAGCCTGGGTAAGGAACTGGTGTGCCTGGACCCACATCAGGGACTATTTCCCCATTACGGTAAGTGTCTCTTTCCCAGCATCCCCCACAGTTCCCAAGATACTAGGCATTTATGCCAAATTACTAAGGTTGTCCATAAGGAAAACAAGACTACCAGAGAAGTCTCAGTGCAGCCTAGACATACTTCAAAACCTACATTGCAGCTGGGGACTCGCTGCTCTGCCAGGATACTTTGGACTCCTTTAGCATGACCTACCAGATGACACAGACAGAAATGCAAATACAGTTGTTTAACAGACATTGATTGAAAGCCTACTCTCCCACGTTAGAGGTACAGAGAAGTGAGTAGGATGTGATCTGTCAGCAAGGTGCTCCCATCTAATGAGAAGGACAGACAAGTATGTATTTATAGTTTGGTACGAGTACACAAGTAGTTCAGAGGAGGGGTAAGGAAAAGCTTCACAGATGTGGTGATATTTTGGCAGGGTTTTCAAGTCCAATGGCAGACACTCAGGCAGAAACCGGAAGGGGTTTGGGTGGAGAAAATAACAGGAAGACAATGTAGAAATGTACTGCTATGCTGATCCTCAGAGCATTCTTTGGAGTAGACAACTAACACTGTCCCGATTTTTAGACCAGAGCTTGCCAATACCATGCGTAAGGCGCACTGAGCCAAATGGCCCAAACTACTTGCAGCCAGCCATGGGGAAGAGGTCCAGAGTTCTAGCTGGCCCGGATCCTACCTGGTTTTCCAGGGGCTGAGGAGACCCATATCTTGGCCCCCTGAAACACCCTCATGGCCTAGCAGTTGAAAAGTTCTATTTTAGGGGCATCTGGGTGGCTCAGTCTGGTCATGACCCTAGGGTCCTGGGATTGAGACCTATGTCGGCTCCCTGCTCCGCGGAAAGTCTGCTTCTTCCTCTCCCACTCCCCCTGCTTGCATTCCCTCTCTCGCTGTGTCTCTCTCTGTCCAATAAATACATAAAATCTTGGAAAGAATGAAGGAAAGAAGGAAGGAAGGAAGGAAGGAAGGAAGGAAGGAAGGAAGGAAGGAAGGAAGGAAGGGAGGGCAGCTCTGCTTTAGAGAACACCCTGATCCCTGAAACATTTTCAGCCTTGCTTCTTCACGTGATCTCATTCCACCACGTTTGGCACTTCTCTCCGTGACTGCAGATCCAGAAGACTAAAGACTTGTCGCCGGAGCACAACTATCTCATGGGGGTTCACCCTCATGGTCTCTTGACCTTTGGAGCCTTCTGCAACTTCTGCACTGAAGCCACAGGCTTCTCAAAGGTCTTCCCAGGCATCACTCCCCACCTGGCCACACTGTCCTGGTTCTTCAAGATCCCCTTTGTCAGGGAGTACCTCATGGCCAAAGGTACTTTGGACCATACTTACTGGAGTTTCTGACCCATTTTTTTCTGCTGGGAGACACACCTTCTTAAGGCTCATCCCCTACCTCTCAACCACCTCTCACCCATTTCCATCAGAGCATAGTAGTTAAAAGCATATGTTCTGGAGCTAAACTGTTTGGGTTTGAGTCCCAGCTCTGCCACCTACTGTGTGGTCTTGAGCAAGCTACCCATCTCACTTTCCTCATCTGTAAGGTGAGGCTGACAATAACAGACCAACCTCAGATTTGGTGTGACAGTTAAATGAAAGCATAGAAGGAATGCATTCGCTATAGTGTCTGACACAGAGTATATGCTCAGTAAAGAATAACTTTTGCTATTTAGTGGCAACAGAGGAAAAGAAAAGAGTAAGATTATAGTTGAAATTCAGAAAGTCCTTCTGGTTATTCCACTGGAAATCTTCCCACTATAGTTTCAACCTAGCACTTCCTATGAAGTGGAGATATTGCCTCCAAGTGAAACATGTTGGGTTTGCCCTTTTCTCCCCACCCTCGTCCCCATCTCATTGATTTTCCTTCCGAGACTTACGGGAACACAGGGTGCATACACAGGCCAATGGGGAGTAGAGCAGAGGGTGTTCTCTCTCAGCCATTTCTACCTCTCCTTATATTGCTCCTCTCTCTGCTCCTTGATCCTCTTAGGTGTGTGCTCTGTGAGTCAGCCAGCGATCGACTACCTGCTAAGCCACGGCACTGGCAACCTCGTGGGCATCGTGGTAGGAGGGGTGGGAGAGGCCCTTCAAAGTGTGCCCAACACCACCACCCTCATCCTCCAGAAGCGCAAGGGGTTTGTGCGCACAGCCCTCCAGCATGGGTGAGTGTTCCTCCCAGGGCAGGGGGCGTGGCCTTCTCTGAGCAGCATCACCTGTTACATGATGTCAAAATGACTCAGACATGAGTCTTGCCCTCTTGGAACTTACTAGCACACAAGGGAGATGGCCATAGCATTTTTAAAAGGTTTAATGTCATCCACTCCTTTTAAACTAGCCAGACCAGTTCTCAGAAAGCCAAACCAGAAACCCAGATTCATTATCATGGGGCTTGGCTAGGGCTCCCAAATATATACAGATGACGCCCACATCACCTCTAGCAAAATCAATATCTGTATCTGCTTGTTAATGTAAGTGCAAGGGGCAGGTTGTACAGTATGGTGAGGATGTGTGCAGAAGCTGAAGTCAGGGACCCTGATCTGAGACCCTGGTTCCATAACTTACTGTGTGTTCTGAGACAGATTACTTAACCATTCTGAGTCTTGGTGTTTTCCTTTTCATGATGCGGCTCTAATAATTGTACCTCCTCCATAGGGTCATGGTGGGGTTTAAATAAAACAACAAATGTGTCTGGCACACAATAAGTGGTAGATAATCATTACCCACTCTAACTGAGGGGTAAAGATAGGAGGTAAAGAGCAGGTGCCAAGATGGGAACTGTGGGGTGCACCATGATGTCAGGAGGCCAGGCCACTGAACACAGAGGTAATTGTCTTATTACAGACTCAGAGAGAAGTAGTTCATCCAAGGGCCTTGCCAGAGTGGCCTGTTCGTCAGTTTGGAACCTAATGTAGGGGAGAGAGTTCTGAGCAGGGAGGAAGGAATCCTGTGTTCTAGCCCAGGTCGTGCCAATCACTGACTGCCCAGTGAACTTTCCCTCTCAGAACCTGGGCTTGTGGATCTGTAAGATAAAGAAAATACCACCACCCCCTACTGTGCCCTGCACTGTCTCTGCTGTGAGGATCCAAGAAGGCAACATATATCAGAATGCAGAGAGATGCCTAGTAACTCACAAAGATTTGTATAAGAGAGGCCATGCTCTCTGTACTCTCCTCTCACAAGAGGACTTCAGGAGCCTGACTCTCTACCTATGGCCCGAGAGGGACACAAATTTTCTCTTCTGTAATCTCAAGGGACAGAATACTTTATGCATATTTCCTGTGGGGGATGGGCATATCATAATATCTGCGTCTGTGTGATATTATCGTCATCTCTATGCTTCCTACTAGTAGAAACAGAGTCAGATATTTCCCTGCATGACACTTTCTGGAAACTTTTCTTAACATGATACAGGTCTCTGGGGATCTCTGCCCAAAACCCTCTTCCTTCCCTCCACCCCCGTATCTCACCCTTGTGATCCTGGACCAGAGACAGCATTCTCACCGGACTTGAACATTTCAAGACGAGAGAGAGTCAATATGGGAGCCCTGTTTGGTGCAAGAAGAAATCCTTTATGTTGCAGGGATTTTATATAGCTGGGACCCTGGCCAGGAGCAAATGTTCTTCTTGAGTGGTTCTCAGTCTAGCCCATGTTTGAGAAATAATTCGGGGTTTTCCTTCAGTGCTCATCTGGTCCCCACCTTCACATTTGGAGAAACTGAGGTATATGATCAGGTGCAATTCCATAAGGACAGCTGGATGTACAAGTTCCAGAGCTGCTTCCGCAGAATCTTTGGTTTCTATTTCTGCATCTTCTATGGAAGAGGCTTCTACCCAGGCACCAGTGGGCTTCTGCCCTACTCGCTTCCTATTGTCACTGTAGGTAAGTGCTGCTTTCAGCCCCAAGACCACCTCAGCTCTTTCCTGACCTCAACCTCAGCCCTCCCCATCCCACCCCCACCAAAGAAAAGGGAAGCAGAGAGGGAGAATCTGGGAGTGGACTTGGCAAGTGAGAGGATCCGGCCCAGGGAAGAAGGAGGTTAAAGGAAGAGAAGATCTAACACTTGCTCCTTCTCTTTTCCCATCTCCAGTTGGGGAGCCTTTGCTGGTGCCCAAAATTGAAAAACCAAGCCAGGAAGTGGTGGACAAATACCATGCACTCTATATGGATGCCCTGTGCAAACTCTTTGACCGGCACAAGACCCAGTATGGCTGCTCAGAGACCCAAAAGCTGCTTTTCCTGTGACTGAATGAGCTTGCATGCGCCCCCCCCCCCAAAAAAAATGTGCCTTGAGGAGGAGACTCATTTACTGCTAACTAAGAGGGGGAGAAAAGGAGATAAGGGAAGGCTATGCGTAGTAGGGGAGGACATTAAGAATTCTTTCCTTGTCACAAAGCCCTCATAGTTGCTGTCCCAGGGAGCTTCACTCAGTCATTCCACAAAAGGGAGCATCCTGAGGCCCCTCAGGCCCAGCCATGGGCATGCTAAGCACACACATGCTTCCTTCCTAAGCCTAACCCCCAGGTCTCAAAGGACTCAAATGACAGCCAAACAGCCCAAGTAGCCCCCACTCTGGTGGTGGTTGTTGTTATTCGGTCATAATGCATATTTTAATTGGGATTTTTTTTTGCATTCCATAAGTTTAACCTGTTTAAAGCGTAAAATTCAGTAGTACATAGTATATTCACAGAGTTGTGCAACCACTACCACTAATTTTAGAACATTGTTCAGCACCCCAAATAAGAAAGCCAATACACATTAGCGGTCACTCAGGGGGTATAGCTCAGTGGTAGAGCATTTGACTGCACATTAGCGGTCACTCCCCATTCCTTCATCTCTCCCAGCCACTAGCAAACAATAATCAACTTTCCATTTCTGTGGATTTGCCATTTTGGGACATTTCATATAAATGGAATCAGAGACTACATGGGTTTTTTAGGACTGGCTTCTTTCTCTTAGCTTCATGTTTTCAAGGCTCATCCGTGTTGTGGCGTGTATCCCTACTTCATTCTTTTTATGGCTGAATAATATCCCATTGCACATATACACAACCGTTGTCATCCAGTCAACCAGTTGATGGACTTTTGGGTTGTTTCCACTTTTGGACTGCTATGGATAACACCGCTACAAGCATTCATGTACAGGTTTTTGTGTGGTAATCCAGAGTTTCCAAATATAAAGGCTTCCCTCATCTCCACAACACTAACAAGTGTTGCAAGCTAACAAGCATATCTTTCAGATAAATCACGGGCAACTTACTCAGGATTACTTTTCAGTTGGCAGAGGCATTTCACTTAAGTCACTTTGTCCTCAGGATGGTCTGCACCATAACCCCAAGGGTTTTGCTACCATCCCAAGTCTATGATGGGAAATCCACTTTATATCTATATTTTAAAGTCTTACTAAGTCCTGCTTAAAAGTTTTTCTTAAAGCTGTATTCTGAGAATTTTAAAAGAATAAATAAAAACACAGCTGTCTCTTCCTTCACAAGGCAACCAACAAAAGTCACATTTAATAACACAACAAAGGTAGTACACCTGAAACTAACATAATATTATGTGTCAACTATAGTAAAAAAAAATGTAGCAAAGGAACAAGAGTTAAAAGGCCATTTAAAAACTCATTCAATTCAATAGCCAAAAAAAAAATAATCCGATTTTAAAGTGGGCAGAGGACATAAATAGACATTTTTCCAAAGAAGACATCCAAATGGCCAATAGGTACATAAAAAAGATGCTCAACATCACTAAACATGAAGGAAATGAAACTTAAAACCACAATGAGATATTACCTCATACCTGTTAGAATTACTACTATCAAAAAGACAAAAGATAAATGTTGGCAAACATTTACATGGAGTAAAACAAATCCTCATGCGCTCCTAGTGGTAATGTAAATTGGTGCAGCCACTATGGAAAACAGATGGAAGTTCCTCAAAAAATTGAAAATAGAACTATAATGTGATCCAGCAATCCCATATGTGGGTATCTGTAGGAAATGAAATCATTATTTCGAAGAGATATCTGCACCTCCATATTCTTTGCAGCATTATTCACAATAGCCAAGACATTGAAACAGCCCAAGTGTCCACTAAAGATGAATGAATAACTAAGATGTGGAATATAATGGAATAACATTCATCATTAAAAAGAAGGAAATCCTGCCATCTGCAACAACACAGATGGACCTTGAGGGCATTATGCTAAGTGAAATAAGTCAGACAAAGAAAGACAAGAACTGTATGATCTCACTTACATGTGAAATCTAAAAGAAAAAAAAGGTCAAATTTATAAAAACAGTGTATAGAATGGTGCTTGCCAGGGCCTAGGGGATAGGGGAAATGGGGCAATGTTGGCTAATGCCAATGGGTACAAATTTCTAGTATATGTGCTGCCGAAGCGAGCACGAGGGTACAAATTTCTAGTTATAAAATGAATAACTTCTGTGGATCTAATGTACAATATGACGACTACAATTAACAATGATGTATTATATACTTGAAAATTGCTAAGAAAGTAGATCTTAGGTGTTCTCACCACAAAAAATTGTAATTATGTGAGGTGATATTTTAACTAACCTTGTATTGTAGTCATTTTGCAATATATATGTATATCAAATCACATACCTTGAACTCACACAATGTTATATATCAATTCTATCACAATAAAGTGAAAAGGGGGGAAATTTTATTTTATTTTATTTTTTAAAAGACTTTATTTATTTATTTGACAGAGAGATACACAGTGAGAGAGGGAAAACAAGCAGGGGGAGAGGGAGAGGGAGAAGCAGGCCTCCTGCTGAGCAGGAAGCCTGATGTGGGGCTCGATCCCAGGACCCCAGGATCATGACCTGAGCTGAAGGCAGACACTTAACGACTGAACCACCCAGGTGCCTTGGGTTTAGGTTAGCTTTTTTTACTTTTCTTATTTCATACTTCTTCAATATTCAGTTTTGTTGGGGTCCCACCTATTCTCACTTTATACTGTTTCAGTCTGAAATACTCATTTCTAACCCAGATTTCTCTCATAAGTAATTTCCCTCAAAACCAATATATCCAACTTATCAATCTCTAACAAACACTTTAACATTAACATAACCAATAGCAGATGAAACATCTTCCCCCTCTCAATCTCACATCTTATCACCAAATCCTGTTAATTTTACCACCTTAATATTAATCCATTGTGTCTTCTTCCCTTCTCCACTGTCACAACCTAGTCAAAGCCCTCACCAAAATTCCTAGACAATTGCCACGTCTTCTACTAGAGTCCTTTCTAATCAATCCATTCATCACACTGGTGCCAAAGTGCTCTTACTAATGCTTAAGCCTGACTTGTTAGTCCTCTGCTTTGAAATCCTTTTTTTTTCTCCTACAGTGCTTCTACCAGCATATCCTGAATTATGTTCTGGGTACCATTAATGTTCCATGGATGTTAATAAATATTGCATAGAAAAAAAATCATTATGTGGTTAAATAACTGTAGGAGATGCTGGATTAAGCAAAGCTAGATAGATGTATTTACTGAAATATTTTCAGAATCTTCACTACGCTAATGGGCATTGTGACTATCCAAGAGAGAGTATTTAGTATTTCCCAAACTTACCTGACAGTGGAACCCTTGTTTCAAATAACACCTATTACCATTCCATGGAACATTTAGTCTTTCTCTAAATACAATCTTGCAAATGCTGGTCTACAAGATAAGGTTCAAACCCCTTGGTATGGTAATACAGAGAAAGTGGCTTACCTGATTTGGGACCCTATCAGATTGGGAGAAGCCATGGTAGGAGTCACAGGTCTAATTGAATGAGTCAAAACCTCATAAGAGGTAAGCAAAAGGTAACTGAATAAAAGAGGAAATTGGATTTGAATTTTCCTCACCTCTTTGGGTTGTCCAGGAAGAGCAAACTACGGCAGATTTTTTTCAGAAAAGAATCTCAAGGGCACACATGGGAATGAGGCTATACCTAAAAGAGTAAAACAAAAACAAAAACAAAGTATTCCAGTGTAAGCCTTTGCTTTCTTATTAGCATCAACTGCATGCTCCTTCTTGAAAATTCATTCCCCCCATATCTTTTCTCTTCACCCTCAGCCTCTATGCCACAATGCAATCTCTTGCTCTCCCTATCTCTCCTCCTCCCTCCCTGAATACTTTCTAGATACTCTGATACTCTAAGGTTTTGCTCCTCACTCTGGATGTCACAGTAACTTTGTATGAAGTGATCATCAAAGGAACTAATCAGTAAGACTTAATCATGGATTGTGAGGGTAGCAAGAGAAATTTACAAAGAGTGGCCAGGCTGGTGATCCTAGTGGGCCAAATGTACAGGGACCTTCAGAGGAAATTCTGGAGGCAGAAAGTGAGCAGAGTACTTGAGTGATATCCAGAGCACTGCCCCAAAGATGGAAGATCCGTATTTACAGTCTGAGAGTTCAATGCTTCCCCATACATAATAGGTCCATCATGAAGTACACCAAAGACCCTTCATATTCTGACCCCTCTGAATTTCCAGTCACTCCCTATCATGGTCTAAAGTAGTACACTGGACTACTTCATGTTTTCTGGATAATTTCACATTTCTTTGCCTCTGCACATGTCCTCTCTACATAGTAAAGCATATTCATCTTTTAAGTCCATATCAAATACCACCTTCTTAGTGAAGCCTTCACCAGGCAGAATTAATAACCCCTTGCTGCATTCTTCCAAAGGCTTTTGTTGACTCTACTAATGAAAACTCGATTTTGTCAGTCTTCACTTATGATTAACCCCATCAAGGGTGTAAAGGAGGAAATTTTCAGTCATACTTTCTCTGCATTTATGGATGAAAATCATATGGTCTTGCAGTATGTGCTTTGGAATTTCTCATATATCAAAGTTCTGCCATATAGTGTGATTGGAGACTTCAACACTCAGCTGTTAGAATATGACAAATCAAGTAAACAAAAAGCTAACCTTTAAAAAGTATGGAGCTGAATAGTACAGTAAACAATGTAGGCTAGACTGTCAAGTGATAAGAACTTAATGATTAGGACAAGGAATTACACTCTTTTCAAGTGCACATGAATCATTCACAACTACAATTCAGTATTTGAATTCATTATATAATGTAACATTGTGTGTCAACTATACTCAAAGGGAAAAAACGTGTTTGCAAGGATGTGTGAAAAGGGGAGCCCTTGTGCACAGTTTGTGGGAATGTCAACTGGTGCAGCCACTACAGAAAACAGAAATATTATATGACCCAGTAATTCCA